AGGTGTCAACAACAGTGTGATGCAGCAGCTAGAAAAGCCAATGCAATCCTAGGCTGCATCGATACGACTATAATGTCTAGACTGAGAGAAATAATAGTACCACTGTATTCTGCTCTACATAGACCTCACCTGGAACAGTGTGTCCAGTTCTGGGCACCAGAATTCAAGAAGGATATTAAGAAGCAAAGGAGGGTGATCAAGTTGGTCTGGAAGTCAAGGCCCAAGAGGAACTGGATGCATTTAACATGGGAGGTGGATGATTTAACTTGGAGAAGAGTGAGAGGTGACACCATAACCATCTTATAATAGTTGAAGGGGTGCCACGAGGAGGTGGAATGAGATTGATTTCTCCTGCTCCAGAGACTAAGAATTACAAGAAAAGAGATCTTACCTATACACTAGAAAGAACATCTTAGCTGTAAGAGCTGTTCCAAAGTGGAATAGATCCACTGAATCAGTTGAATTTGCCCATATGTTTACTCCCCATTAAACAATTTAGTCAATATATCTATTCTACATGGGGAAAAACCAATAAGATTTCAGCCAATGCCTCCTCCCTCCCTTTGTTGGTCATTGCAGAGGACAGAATTTATATAACTGTTGCTGTCGGACTCTGTTAGAGGACACCAGCCCAGATAGTGGCTGGTGGAGAGCAGGAGAAAGTTGAGAAGCATCTGGCTTTGTGACTACAGACAGACAGACAATGATGGAGGCATCCTTTGGGACCACTCCATCCATCCATTCATCCATTCATCCATCCATCCATCCATTCATTTATAACCCACTCTTCTGCCAAAGCAGCTTGCAGATTGTTAATTAGAGAGTTCCCTGCCTTCAGGCTTACAACCTAAAAAAGACATGACACAAAAGGAGAAGGGAATGTCGTGGTGAAGGGGATCATGTCCAGCAGATATTGCCGGTTCTTCTCTCCCTCTGAGGCCATAGTGATGGCAGTTGGAATAGAGGGAAGGCCCTTTTTCTATTTCTGGGTTTGGCATTGTGGGTCACATTCTCATTGTGCATCTGGCTACAGTTACATAGCCAGATGCTTTTCAGCAGTCTGCAGCTGAGGCTCCACTAGGCTCTACATGGTCATACATCACACTCTCTCAGCCTCAGAGGAAGGCAATGGCAAACCTCCTCTGAACAAATATTGGCAAGAAAACCCCATGATAGGTTTGCCTTAGGGTCACCATAAGTCAGAAGCAACTTGAGGGCACACAATAACAAACAACAAAGCTTTGTAGCATTTTCAGTGCTAGTTTATATAACTGCTGCCCTCAAACTCTGGTTTTGGGAACTGCAGCCCAACAATATCACGGTGCCTCACTCAAAAACTCATAAATCAACTAGTACAGGAGGCTGTGAAATGAAACCTAGACAGCCTTTGCAATGCTTCAGTATTTTTAGTATGTTGGATTATAATGGTCTTTAATATATTTTGATGCATGACTTTATTTTTTAAAAAGATCATTGTTTGCATCCTGTCTCTAAAGAAAATGTAGGCTTCTGCAATTGTTGTTAGTCTAATAGACTGATTATAGCTCACTGTCATCTTAATACAGGTATTTCCATGTCTGCTTGATGTGTCACTTTGAAGTTGCAGAATATTTTGTTTGATTTATGTAAAGCCAGTCAGCATGTATTTTAACTCAATAAAGTGGCTTTGTGACTTAATGGGAATCTTATCAACAAAGTGGCAAAGCACTTTGCTTTTTTTGCTTAAATATCAGCTAAGACGTTTCAGTGAAAATGGACTGGGAGGCTAACTTTGTGCAGTCAACCCTCCATATCCATAGATTTATTTATTTTTATCCATGGATCCAAGAAGCCACAGCTTGAAAATATTTTAAAAATATATAAATTACAAAAAGCAAACCTTAATTTTATATACGGGACACCATTTTACTATGTCATTGTTTTCAATAGGACTTGAGCATTCATGGATTTTGGTATCCAAGGGGAGTGGAACCAAGCCACAGTATATATGCACTGTATCTAGCAAAATGTTTCAGAATAAATCTAGAAGGGATCTTAGAAAAAGCACAATGAGGTTTGGGGGCCAAATTATATTTTCTTTTTAGGGTTCATAAACATACCATTGAGACCCAGCGTGGTGTAGTAGTTAAAGCATTGAATTATGATTCTAGAGACCAGGGTTCAATTCCTTTCTCAACCATGGAAACCTACTGGGTGACACACTCTCAGCCCCAGAAAATCAAGTGATAGGTTCACCTTAGGTTCGCCAAAAGTTGGAAATGACTTGAAGACACACAACAATAAAACATATCATTATAAGAAACTTATTTATTTAAAATATGTCCCCTATATCTGCAGGGGATACGTTCCCAGACTTAGTGTGGATATGCAAAACTATAGACATTAGTGAACCTTATAGGATTTTAAACATACAGTCAAAATTAAATATAGATAACAAGGGAACTGAAATAGTCAAAGATTTCCCACCTTTGACCAAACAGAAACTGCAGTCAAAAATCAGGAGAAGACTTGTAGGAAGGGCAGCTATGAAAGAACTAGACAAGATCCTAAAGTGCAAAGATATACAAATGAACTCTAACTTGAGGATTGTTTGTTCCATTGTATTTCCAATCACTGCGTATGGGTGCAAGAGCTGGATGGTGAAGGAAGCCAACAGAAAGAAAATCAATTAATTTGAGATGTGGTGCTGGAGAAGAGTGCAGGGGATACCATGGGCAACTAAAAAGACAAACAAATGGGTAGAAGAGCAAATTGGATCTGAACTTTCTCTAGAAGCCAAGATGACTAAACTGAGGCTGTCATACTTTGGCAGCATCATGAAAAGCCATGAATAACTGGAAAATAAAATAATGCCAGGAAAGGTAGAAGGTAGTAGAAAGAGAGGAAAATTGCATGCCAGATGAATGGACTCAATCAAAGAGGACATGGCCGTAACTCTACAGAAACGGAGTGGGTCCATTGAGGATAAGGAGTCTTGGAGATGCCTCCTTCACCGTGATGCCAGAAGTTGACTTGAGGGCAGTTAGCAACAAATCCCCCATCTACTGGCTCACTTGCTGCCCTGTGGAGGGGAGAGTAGCAAAAGGGAAGACTCACACAGCAAATGGCCAGGATGCCAGGGTCATGGCTGCTGCCACTGGTTGAGCTCCTTCCTTGCCTTATTGCTGCATGCTCTCAAAGATTCACTCTGCTGGAGGCTCCACAGACAAAGGCCGGGGCAGAGGAGGACCAGGCTATTTGCATGTAGCTCTCTAAAGCAGGGGTAGGCAACCTAAGGCCAGGGGCCGGATGCGGCCT